ATGACCATAAACTCTCTCAGTAAAAAAAAAAAAAAAAAAAAGATAATAAAGGAAGAGACAGAAACTCCATATAATTGGAAAAGGGATGTTAACAGATAAAATCCAGGAATTAAACTATCTAACGGAGTTTTCCCTATGGTTAAGTGTTCAGATATTATGCCAACAATCTAAGTCATAAAGAAAACCATCTGTAATACTGAGAAACTGCACTTGTTTGTTCTCTAGGCACAGTGTAATAAACCAGAACTGAATTGAATATCTCCAACATTACCACAAATACTTGGGAATTAAAGACTTTTCTGTCTCACAGCTCATTTAGGGATAGTAAAAAACTGGAACCTGGAGATCTTCAGAGCAAGAGTAAGATAAACCAGGACCAGCAGGGCTGGAGCTTTGAGAGCTAAGGAAAGTTCCCAGCAGTTGAGGGCGCCCGGCACAGAGGCTGGGGCTGCTGTGAGAAGCTGGTCATTGCCCTACCCCCACCAGACGGAACAGGAAGAGAAGGAAGAGCAGGTGAAGGGCACCCCCACAGCCAGGTGCAGTTCACCTATCAGTGGGCGGTGGGGAATGAGCTGGGCGGCTCTGGGCATCTGCTGCCCCCAGACCTCTCTGTGTGGTCAGTGGCGAACAGTGGAGAAGTTGCTCGCGCGGGGTGCAGCCTGCATGGTCAGGAGAACTGGAGGTCCCTTTGGCTGCCAAGGCTGCCAGGTGTGCGGCATGGCCAGGAAAGGGTACAGGGGCCCAAGCATGGGGGCGGCCTGGTTGGCTCCAAGAAGATGGAGCTAAAGTCTCTTCGCCTGAGAATGTTCAGGCCAGTAGTTTGGACGTTAAGACCCGAGGCAGGACGGAGCCTGGAGGCCCCCGGTGGCCAGGAGATCCACCGCCCGGGGGCTTTCAGACCCTTGGGCTGCAATGTTCTAGAGTGCCGCCAGGTGGCGGTAGAACGCAGCAAACGTCGATCTCAGTCCGGGTTCTCCACCTGGGTGTCTGGTGCTTCCTTCTGTGTCTTCGTTTTCCGTGGAGAAAAATACAACAGAACTCTGTAAGTTGACCATCCGAGGGACTGCAACAAACTGGTCAAAATATGGAGATGGTCAACACAGGGAGTCAGGCCTACTGTACTGATAATACATGTGGTGCATGTGAAGTCTCTGAAAATTAGGTCCGCTCAAGGAGGTGGTCAATGTAGTGAGGTGGTCAACTATAGAGGTTCTACCATGTATTATATCGTACTTAGTAACAAAGTCCCAGTCGTCACTTCTAAAACTACATGTGTAGCTGTAATTCCAGTGACTCAGAAGGCCAGGGTGGGAGGATTGAGCCTATGAGTTCAAGACCAGCCTGAGCAACACAGGGAGACCCTGTCTCTTTAAAAAAAAAAAAAAAAAAAAGCATATGACATTTATGTGGAATAAAGTGAATTTGTACCTGGGATAGTTCACCTGCAGTGACCTGATGGACCCTCTTCTGGGACGGCTCTGTATGCTGATAGTCTGGGCACTTCTCCTTGTACCTCTGTGCTTCTGAAAAATCTTGTGCAAACCAAATCATTGTAAAGAGTTTGGGGCAATCGATGTTTAAAGCACAGTGTAAATAATTCTAAAGGTGACTCTCCCCTGTTATTTGATCCCTTCTTTTCTTTGGCCAATTGACTTGGCAGGACATAGGTTCTTCTGTGCCAGTTCCCAGGCTGAATACCTTGGACTTGAAGAGAAGGCTTGTGTGGGTGTCCAGTGCCCACCCCAGGTTCAGTTCCCTCTGGAGCATTGCACTGGGTCTGGTTAGGTGAAGCCCAATCCACCATGTACCAAGGGACAGGCTAACCCTGGGCTAGCCTGAGAGCTTCTGTGGGGTGGGGCTGGGGTACCTGGAGGTTTGGGTCCAGGGAGGGAGACTTAGGCCCTTTGGAGCAGCCTCCAGGGATCTGAACCCAAACAGAACCAGATCAAAGTCTAGCAAGGGTTTGGAAGTGACTTGGATCCTCCAAGAGATGAATTAAATCAAGTGGACCCACTCCTAACACCACCTCATCTCAGTCTCTTACCTAGGGTCAAACTCTAGCCACAGAAATTTCTCCCCTAACTAGGAGTTCCCCTGATCAATGTTTTAGAGCAGAGGTGTCCAACGTGCAGCACTCCCACCTGAGACTGCATGTGGATTTTTTGAGGCCTGTTTTTCTTCTTTTTTTTTTTTTTTTTTGTAGAGACAGAATCTCACTTTATCACCTTTGGTAGACCTCCAACTCCTGGGCTTAGGCAATTCTCTTGCCTCAGCCTCCTGAGTACAGTAGCTGGGACCACAGGCGCCCGCCACAATGCCTGGCTATGTTTTGTTGCAGTTTAGCCGAGGCAAGTTTGAACCTGCTACCCTTGGTATATGGGGCCGGCGCCCTACCCACTGAGCCACAGGCACTGCTCTGAGGCCTGTTTTTCTTATCTGTGCTATCAGATATCTGGAAAAGTATGCACTGATTTTTTTCTTTTACTCATCAGCCATCATTAGTGTTTATGTATTTAATGTGCAGCCCAAGGCAACTCTTCCTCTTCCAGTTTGCAGAAGGTAAAGTAAAAGTAAAAGTAAAAAGGTTGGGCACCCCTGGCTTAGAGCTCCCAAATCACTGTTCACTCCTCTGATGAGTATTCTTAGTGTCTACCCAGGGGTGAGGTGCAATATATACATGTTACTCTAGATGGGAAATTAAATTTCAGGATTCCAGTTTCCTTTTTTTTTTTTTTTTTGTTGAGACAGAGCCTCAAGCTGGTCCCCTGGGCAGAGTGCTGTGGCATTACAGCTCACAGCAACCTCCAATTCCTGGGCTCAAGCGAGTCTCCTGCCTCCGCCTCCCAAGTAGCTGGGACCACAGGCGCCCGCCACAACGCCCGGCTATTTTTTGGTTGCAGCCGTCATTGTTGTTTGGCAGGTCCGGGCTGGGGATTCGAACCCGCCACCTTAGGTGTACGTGGCTGGCGCCTTAGCCGGTTGACCTATAGGTGCCGAGCCGGATTCCAGTTTCCTAATGCCAACCACTACCCTTTTCCTTTTGTAAATCTAAGATTCTGCGAAGGGTATTAGCTTAATGTGTCTGCTTTGTGTCTGTTGCCAAATCCCACAAAAGCTTGTTACAGTTTTTTGTGGGTTTGGAACAAGAAAAAGCCACATGGAAAAAAACATGTCTATGTATGTTGACGGCACTGTTATTGCTTAATGTACTTTGATTCATTTGATAAGTTTCTTTCATGGTTTAGTACAGAAAACAAATTATCTTCCTTGAAAAATTGCTAAGTCATCTTTGTCAGATAAGGAGAGGGATATAACCTACCAGGTTTCCCTTTTTGCCTTGGCTTCCAGGAAGCTTGGAGCTAATTGTAATGATTAGTAATGATTACATCAGTCTGGATGGTGTCCCTTCTACTATTATTCTTTAAATTTTCTTTTCTTTCTTTTTTTTTTTTTTGAGACAGAGTTTCACTTTGTCACCATCGGAAGAATGCTTTTGTGTTATAGCTCACAGCAACCTCAAACTCTTGGGCTCATGTGATCCTCTTGCCTCAGCCTCCTGAGTAGGTTGGGAATACAGGCCCCCACCACAATGCCCAGGTATTTTTAGAGATGGTATCTCGCTCTTGCTCAGGCTGGTCTTGAACTCCTGAGCGCAGGTGATCTACCTGCCTCAGGCTCTCAGACTGCTAGGATTACAGGCATGAGGAACCTGGCCTCTGTTCCTATTCCTTTTTGAAAGCAGGCAGATCTGCTTCTGGGACTTATTCAGTGAAAAGTTATAAATAAAAATGATCCCTAAAGGAGATCAATTTATGCCACCCCCAGATTTTTAAAATCTGAATATGGTATGAATTGATTCAAAGATATGCAGAGGGTGACAGTGAATCCCTGAGAAACAGTGAGAGGAAGCCTATTGTACCTTCTTCCCAGCTCAGCCCTGGGCTGCGGCACTGTTGTGTGTCCTGAGGGCAAGAGAGAATGTCAGTGTTCACCTTGGAGTTTTGTTTTTATTTGATTTATGAGGTGGTACCCTTAAGGAAGGCCAGGACAACTTTGTTGTCACATAGATAGCCTGTGGCTACAGAAACACCCAGATCTGGGTTCTTGTGTGGCTTCTTCTGACTTGAGAAAGTAGCTGAATCTGTATGGGCCTAAAATAGTCTCCTTGTCCATAAAGAGAGGGATGGTGGCCAGGAAAGTGACATGGAATGAGATATTTATCCAACTCTAAGGAGGGGTGGTTTTTACATTTAAAAACCAGAGTAGATGTCAGGGCGCGGTGACTCTCACCTGTAATTCTAGCACTCTGGGAGGCCTAGGTGGCTGGATTGCTTGAGCTCAGGAGCTCAAGACCAGAATCAGTTTAGAATATTTATAACTTTGCCCCAGTTCTGAAGAAGAATAAGACCCGTCTCTACTAAAAAGAGAAAAAACTGCTAGACATTGTGGTGGGCACCTGTAGTCCCAGCCACTTGGGAGACTAAGACAAAAAGAGTTCGAGGTTGCTGTGAGCTATGAGTAAGATTCTGTCTCAAAAAAAAAGAAAGTAAGAAAAAATTGGAGAATTGGGCGGCGCCTGTGGTTCAAGGAGTAGGGCGCCAGCCCCATATACCTGAGGTGGTGGGTTCAAAGCCGGCCCGGCCAAAAACTACAACAACAACAAAATCGGAGAAGTGCAGAATAAGCTGACAGTGCAGTTCTTTTATTTTGATCAAATAAATAAGCAAAACAGTGGGGTTTTTTGGGGGGGGGTTTTGAGATCGTCTCACTATGTCACCCTCGCTAGAGTCTCATGGCATCACAGCTCACAGCAACCTCCAACTCCTGGGCTTAAGTGATTCTCCTGCCTCCGCCTCCCAAGTAGCTGGGACTACCGGCGCCTGCCACAACTCCCAACTATTTTTTGGTTATAGTTGTCATTCTTGTTTGGCGGCCAGGGCTGGGTTCAAACCTGCTGGCTCTGGTGTGTGGCTAGAGCCTTAGCTGCCTGAACTATGGGCACCCAGCGAAACAGTGTATTATAATAAATACCCAGTGCTGCTAGCAGTAGAGGAAGTGGGCTTTCTCAAAAGTGCTCACAGGGGCTTGGTGCCCATACAGTGGTTACAGCGTCAGCCACATACACGGAGGCTGGTGGGTTGGAACCCAGCCTGGGCCAGCTAAACAACAATGACAACTGCAACAAAAAATAGCTGGGCGTTGTGGCAGGCGCCTATAATCCCAGCTACTTGGGAGGCTGAGGCAAGAGAATCAGTGAAGCCCAAGACTTTGAGGTTGCTATGAGCTATGACACCACGGCACTCTACTGAGGGCAACATAAAGACTCTGTCTCAAAAAAAAAAAAAAAGTGCTCACAAGGAAAATTAATCCCACCTTTTAGAAAGCCACTTGGAGAGTTTTGTACTGAGAGTTTTTAGAATATTTATAACTTTGCCCCAGAAATTCTATTCCAAGACTCTATGCTATGAAAATCCATTATATGGAAAAATTTCTTTGCAGAAGGATGTTCATGGGAGGCTGTTTGTTATTTAAAATGGAATCAGTACAAATGTTTGATAGCAGAGGGAAGTATTTACAAAATGGAAGAGGATACATTATTAAAAATAACGCTCTGGCTCGGCGCCTGTGGCTCAAGCGGCTAAGGCGCCAGCCACATACATAAGGTGGAGGGTTCGAATCCCCAGCCCGGGCCCGCCAAACAACAATGACGGCTGCAACCAAAAAAATGGCCGGGTGTGTGGCGGGCGCCTGTGGTCCCAGCTACTTGGGAAGCTGAGGCAAGAGACTCGCTTGAGCCCAGGAGTTGGAGGTTGCTGTGAGCGTGATGCCATGGCACTCTGCCCAGGGGGATAGCTTGAGGCTCCGTCTCAAAAAAAAAAAAAAAAAAAAAAACTACATGTACCCAATCATCCTGTCATTTTTAGGTATGTAGTGGTACATATAAACAAGACTTCAAGGAAATACACAGAATGCCATGGTGGTTGTATTAGGGTCATAATAAAACTTTTGGTTTTGCTTTTTTAACCTTTATTTTTCAAACTCATAATGCTATATTTTCTAATTAAAAAAATATGTAGTTTTCTTTTTTTAAAGGACCCCAAAAGAAAATGGAGGCGTGATTAGCTATGATTCCCAGGTTTTAAGATTCAGATTAGTAGCCGGATTGAGAGGAAGCTGGGCCTGAGACACACGCAGTATTAACGAGGCTTCCAGAGCCACCATCACCCACCACCCCTCCCCATTCTCAAAGGCAGCAACGGAGGTCCTGGGGGACCTGGTGCCATTTTCAAAATTTCAGAAGCCGCATTGGCACTGCCATGCTGATATAAATAATGCCTCACCCTGTTTTCAAGCACAGACTTCCTAAGGGGAGAGACACCAGGGAGGAAGAGTCCCTCTCTGACCAGGAGCACCTCTCTGAATCATGCTGACCTGTCCCTGTCATAGCTTTTAGGCACATTGGGTAAAAATCATTCCCCAGCCAAGCACTGATATTCCCACCCTTTCTCCCTGGTGCCTGGAGAAAGAAGGACCTCACAGAGAGGCGGTCATCTGGGACCCCTCCAGGTCACACCCACGCCCAGGAAAGCCGAGCAAAGAGGGTGGAAACATTTGCTCAAAGTCTTCTGTGTCCCAAGTGGGAACCTAGGTAGAAAGGGACTTCCTCTCAGGAGAGGCCATCTGCCCCCTTCTGCAAGACAGAGGCCTCATCTTAGGGCTCTGGGAGGCCAAGGCGGGTGGACTGCCTGAGGTCAGGAGTTTGAGACCAGCCTGAGCAAGAGTGAGACCTTATCTGTAAAACTAGTCAGGTGTCGCGTGCTTCCAGCTACTTGAGAAGCTGAGGCAAGAGAATCACTGAACCCAAGAATTTGAGGTTGCTGTGAGCTATGACACCAGAGCACTCTACTGAGGGTGGCATAGTGAGACTGCCTCAGAAAAAAGGGCTTCACAGGGCACAGTCTGTTCATCTCCATAAGGCTTCAGGGGCCCTCAAACCTGGCTATGCATCAGAACCACCAGGAAACTTGTCAAAAGTGTCCAGACTTAAGCCAGACTCCTTAAGCTTCCAGTTCTAGGTCCTGGGTGGGGTCTGGGGGTTTTGTTTTTTTTTCTAATCTGGAGGTGATTCTGATGCCTCACAGGCTTAAGAACAGCTGTGTGAAGTTCTCTGAGTGTTCTGATGGGTCAGGTAGGGGCGTGAGTGGGGAACTTTTTATTTCCTCATTTATTAATGTGAGTGAGCAGTTTTCACCTCAAAGCAGCCAGGTGAACACTCACCTCCCGCTTCCAGGCCTCAGAGGTGCTCTCTGAGGGACTCCATAGTGCAATCCTGAGGCTCTGCTCAGTCACCCCCAGCTCATCTCAAATCACTCACAATTCTGGGCCACCTTCCGGGCCACCTCTCAGCCAGTCCCTCCAGCTCCCCTGGGGTGTGACTTGGCCTCTGGGTGGGCACTGCCCAACTGAGGCCCCTCCTCCCTGCCCTGATGTCAAGAGACTGGCGGTGTCAGTACTCAGTGGGAGCATCCGGGTGTGGTGTGTCACTCATCCTTTTTTCTGGCTATCAAAGGTGCAGATAATTAATAAGAAGCTGGATCTTAGCAACGTCCAGTCCAAGTGTGGCTCAAAGGATAATATCAAACACGTCCCAGGAGGCGGCAGTGTGAGTACCTTCACACGTTCCCTGCACCGTGCTGTGGTTTGATTTTTTTTAAGAACTGGCATGAGTACATATACTTGCGAGACATTGCACAGAATAAATCCTTCTCAGGCTCAAGATCTACCCGTGTCCCCAGACAAATGTAGCCGATGTTCAAATCCCCACACTGCCTTGTCCCCCGAACCTTCTTCCTGCCCCATGTTCAGGAGGGCTGTCCCCAGCCTGCACAGGCCACGTAGGTAGAATGGGGAATGGGCTGGATCCTCCCTCAAGCCCCTGTGTGACCAGGGCTTAATACACGCCATGGTCTCCCTCATGCTCAGCCCTGCCCCAGAAGCCCCACAGCCCACTAGAATTTGGACTGAAGGTGGTAGCATCCTGAGACTGGGCTATCACCCCCTCCCCTGTCACCCGGGCAGGTTCCCATTGAGTGGTCCACAGTGGACAGTGGCCTGTTAGTTCTGATGAGTGGACATGAAGGTCTTATTGTCCTGCCCAAGGCCTTGAGTCCACCCTCTGCTCAGTTGTGTCTCCTCCATGTCAAAGGGAAGAGCCGATTCTGAAGGCTCTCGGCTCATGTTTAAAACTGGCTCCATCCTCTGGCAGAGGCTCTGAAGCAGAGCCAAACAAAGTGTGATGGGTTACTCTGCCTGCAGTCGAGGTGGACAGAGAAATACAGCTTCTGGCCCTGTTAAATTTGGCTTCCTCCAAATGTCCCTGGGGATGGCCTGCAGCCTCAGGGGAGTGTCCCTGTGAGATCTGGGACTCGGATCCTCACTTCTCACCTACCCACTTGATGGACTTTAGGGGCTCCCTCATCCTTCTAGCTGGTCCCCATCCACTAGCCGGGCTCAGGTTCACTTCTGTATCTGACAGCCCCGTGACTCCCCAGCTCTCTTGGTCAGCCCCAGCCATAGGCAAACTTTCAACGCCCCAGGGAGCTGCAGACCCTGGAGGTCCCCCCGGGGTCCTTGGTTTCTGAACACAGGTGCTGGGCCGCTGGCAGTGCCCTGTGGCTACGGCAGCCCTGGGTGCTCTCTCCGCATCCAGCCAGAGGGTTTATTCTTGCAATGTGCTGCTGCCTCCTGCCCGAGCCCTGGGTCCCAGCTTTTGCCTCTGAGCCCCCTGCAGCCCGGAGAATGGAGCGCTTGCCCTGCGGCTGCTGCATGGAGCTTTAACAATGCTTCTTTGCCAGTGTCCGCTGAGTGTCTCCTCTGTCCCTCACACCTCGCTCCTCTGTCTCCACGTGTCTCTCAAGAGAGCAGCAGTGTGTGTCCCCCACCCCACCGGCCTCCTATGCTTCCTGTGCAGGTTGCCGTTTTCAGCCATTTCAGTTTTGACTCCTGGTTGGCTGGCTTCCTCACCAATGTCAGTGCGGCCAGAGAAAGAAAAACACCGGCTTTCTGGTTTAACTCCTGTCTGGGGGCTGGCAGAAGGTTGTGCCTCTGAGGCTGTGGGGTCTGGTTCCAGGGGCTGCAGATGGCAGGTGCAAGAGAGCCGAGTGGCCCTATCCCTTTCGCAAGGGATAGCCGATGCCCAGAGAGCTGCAGTCTCCAGAACACTCAGGGAGTTCCTCAGAGCCTCTGCTGTGTCCTGCACTGTGCTGACCTGTGGGCCGTGACCTGCTAGAGAGCCATGAGATACCCCAGGAAGGGGTATGGGTGGGGCTCCATCCTCTACTGGAGGTCACTGTTTGTTGGCAGTGGAGCCTTCCAGGGAAGCTCTTCTCCTCCCTAGTGAATAGTTGTCGGGGTCACCTGCACATTCTCCTATTTGATGTGGGGGAGCGCTGGATCTGCCCCACTCCCAGTCTGGAGGTGACATCCCAGCAGGTAGGCCCTGCCTCATTTGGACCCCATGCCTCCTGGCTGAGCTCAGGCTCCTCTGCAGGGTTGCTGGCCCCTCCCTGAGTTCAGAACCACCTGGCTCCCACCTTTATCGTTTCTTCCCCAGCAGCCCTACCTTGGCCTTCCTTACCAGTGACCTCGTCCAGGCCAGAGGGAAGAGGCGGTGATGCCTCTGTCTTGCTGGCACTTCCTACTTCCTCCCAGCCCAGCATAGCCCAGCCCTTGCCCTCCTGCAGGCACAGGTCATCATATCCCATGGGCCAGCCCAGCTGTCAACTCTCCATCGATAAGCTAACACCAAGGTGACTTTAAAATAATTAGGAATTGGGTGGCGCCTGTGGCTCAAAGGAGTAAGGCACGGCCCCATATGCCAGAGGGCGTGGGTTCAAACCCAGCCCCAGCCAAAAAAAAAAAAAACAAAAATTAGGAATTTTTCCAGTTCAGACCTAATCAGAAGACTTTCTTTTCTTCTGTGGCCTTGATAAACCCCTCCTGAGACTCAAGGCCGTCTCCTGGATGACTCCAGGCCAAGAAGCCAACTGGCCTCCACCCATGAGGTCGGTCCCTGCGGAGGCCCCATGGTGACCCAGGCCCCTTACAGCCATGGCTTTGTGGAGACTTGCCTAAAGGAGACCCAGCTGCCTCTGTGGTGTCCCATGGGGTGCACCTTTAGGGGAACACGCAGCTCAGGGGCCGTCATTCCTGGAGCTGTTGAGCCCTAGAGCCCTCCGGCCTCCCTGCATCACGTTTGCCCGAGCTGCTGAGACACTGTTGGTGTCTGCTGTGCTGGCCGCCCGGCCTGGGTGGGGCTTTGTTCCTTGGGTAAAGACTGAAACGTCCAGGATGCCACGTGCACAGGTGCCAGCTGGCTCTTCCTCCGAGTCACTGAACTGCTCTGGGTCCTGCCTGGTGACCTGTCATTGCTGTGGTGGGGGTACAGGGATCTGTGAAATCTTCTCTGTTACCAAGCCCCCCATCAATCCTCACACATCCCTCTCCTCCCTAGAAGACACAACTCTCTTTTCTACAGAGATTTTTCAAATGCTGCGTACGATAATCACATTGACCACTTCTTCCTGTGTGTCTGAGTGTGATCTGTCAATTTCACGCCAGGAAAGGGAGTGACTTCTTTACACTTAAGTGTTTGCTAAACAAATGGCTTGGGCCCTGCACAATGACAAAGTGTCCCTGTTTTCTCCTGAAAGAGTTTTGTTCTGCAGGGATTGAAGACACTCCATCCCACAGTTACTTTGTGAAGACCCAGCTCCCTTGGGACAGGGTTGGCAGAATTTCAGGACCACATTTTTCCACCCTGACGAGGGTGTGTTTCTCATGGCAGACAGGAACCACTGTCCAAGCAGGGCCTGGGCTTACACAGCTGTTTTTCATTGTGTTACACCCATAATAAAATAATCCCATTTTATTCTCTTTGTCTCTCCATCTGCCTCTCTCTCTCTCTCTCTTTTATCCTCTTTTACCTCCAGGTGCAAATAGTCTACAAACCAGTTGACCTGAGCAAGGTGACTTCCAAGTGTGGCTCATTAGGCAACATTCACCATAAACCAGGTAGTCCTTGTGGGAGGCAAGGGTTCGGACAGAAAGGTGCTGGGGGGAGGGTGGCAGAGGACAGGACTGTCAGGCAGTGCCTGCTGAGGTGACCGGGAGAGGTTTGTCAGGTGGACCATCAAGGACAGGTTGAGTATGGACCTTGCTGGAGCCTGGGGTGGGGAGTGTGGCCTCCTCAGCTCGCTCCCAAGTAGGACCATGCTGGCCGAATGAGATGAGAGAGGCCTTGTTCTAACCCCTAACTCATGGCTCTCCAAGTGGGCCCTGAAGGCCTGCTATGTGGGTGTCCCGACTTGGTCCCCAGCCACCATAAGGGACATCAGCTCTATCAACTACATCCTGGAGCCCCTGGGCCACTGGTATCCTCTGCTGTGACTACGTCTAAACAGAAAATGACGTTCTTGGGGGCACCCATGTCTCACTGTGTAGAAGTCAGTGCTATCCACACATCTTCCGTGACAACCAAAATAGTCCACATCCGTGCTGTCCAGTATGGGAGCTATGAGTCATATGTGCCTATTGAGCACTTGAATTGGGGCTAATGCAGTTGAGGAACTTAACCAGTTTTATTTAGTTAAAATTAAAGTACCACATATGGCTCATAGCTACCATATTGGACAGCACAGGTGTTGATTCTGACTCCCACCCGGAGTCCAGAGCAGGGACTTCTGTGTGAGGCCCTGTTCAGCACCAAGGCCTTGGCCATCAGAAGCTCAGTCTACAATGTTTCATTTTTTGACTCTACTGAACACCATCTCTCCCAGAGAAAACTATTCCACAACTGGTGCGGCCAGCCCAGCCCACCGTGAGCCACTTTCTTCATCCTTCCCAAGAAAGAACATGGCCATCTCTTCCTCCCAATGGGCTCCCATGCTTAGGCATAGCATCAAGGGCCATGGAGGGAGAAAGGGTCAGGGGCTTTCCTTTTGAGTGTGCATTTTGCCTTGTTTAATTCTGTGGCCTTGATAGCCCCCTCCTGAGACTCTAGTTTATCCAGATCATAACTCATGGGGTTATGCTATAAGTTATTAATATCAAAAGACTCCATTGCCTTTCTGTCCTTGTGGGTCTATGTCACCTCCATCTCATTCCTAGCTGGCTATGAGAGGAGGAATGTGGGAGGGGTTAGGGGATCAATAAATTCTGCCTTGATTCCTCCTCCTCAAAAAATAAAAGACTCCATTTGCTGGAAAACAACCACTTGAGAATGTAGAATAATTTCTCCCAGACTGAACTGCCATTTATCTTCAAAATATCTCAAGAGGGAAGTTTTCAGAATAGATACATTGATGCCCACCCTTCATTAGGGAGATAAGCAAACTTGTTCTCAAGCCCTTTGCAAGGATTTAATTGTATCCACAACACATTGTAAATGAAGGAGCATCTCACTTGGTCTCTATTTGGAATCAATCGTTCAAGCCCTCAAACATGAATGTTCTATCACTGTCCTCCTCTCCAGAGCAGGGGCACCTGCCCTACTTTTCCCCAACTCACAGCAGCCCACTTTGCTCTGTAGACATAATTTAACATACGCTGAGTCCGCTAAACCACAGAGGAACATGGCAAGATGCTCTTGTGTGTGTTGTGTTCCAGGAGGTGGCCAAGTGGAAGTAAAATCTGAGAAGCTGGACTTCAAGGATAGAGTCCAGTCGAAGATCGGGTCCCTGGATAATATCACCCACGTCCCTGGCGGAGGGAATAAAAAGGTGAAGGGGCCAGGGCCGGGAGGAGGCTGCATGTGGATACACATGTCAATCAAGTCATATGGACAAAGGCTGGCACAGTTTTCCGAAAGAGGAAAGGAAGGATCCTGCATTGACAGGCTTGATGTGGTTCTCAGCACACCCAGGGCAGTCCGGACCTTAACTGCCCATCCTTATCACCTGGGAGTTTTAGTAGAGTTGATGCCTGGGCCCCGCCAGGAGAATCTGACCACCTGGTCTCAGGTGCTACTAAGTAGCCGGCATTAAGGCTGCCAGGGGATTCTTTAGTGCAGTCAAAAGTGAAAGCTCCTGTCCTACGTCTTGTGGTTTGTAAAACACTCAACACAGGGAAGTAGCATCCCCAGATTCAGCCCCTGTGAAGCAAGAACAAGTCATGGGCACATAACCCAACTTTCTAAATGGGTTACGAGGCAGTCCGAGGAAAACAGTGATGTTGGAATCCAGATTTCAGCAAAGCCTCTGCCTGCCTGTCAAAAAGTTGTCCACTTGGAGGCTGGTAGGCCTCCATGTTCTGGTAGTTTCTAGAGCCTCCAGGACTTGGCTGTAGGTGTCTGTCTGCTGTGAGGGTAAGGGGCACAAGAGTGTGGGTGGCCCTGAGTGAGCTACCTCTGGGCCCAGCACAGGATGGAGGCTTGCGTCTGGCTTTCTCTCTTCTGCATAAGCACCCCAAGCGCCCTGTGGGTTTCCCACCCACACCCACTCTGAAGTTCTGGGAGTGGCTCACTTTCCAGCCCTTACTGCCTCCCAGCAGCGGACTGGAGAGTGTTAGAGGGAGAGGGGATGTCCCAGATAGGTGTAGAATCTGAGACCAAATCCAGCGTGAGAAAGTGTGCTGCCTGAGGTGGCCCAGTGGGGGAGGGGGGGAGCTATAGTCAGCCCGTCTTGCCACCACACCATGCTGGGTGGCAGCTGGGAGTCCCCTGCCCTGGCCTGTGCCCATGCCTCCCTGCTTGTCCAGCAGCCCCCTCCCTGCCTCTGGCTCTGATTCTAGATAGCACATCCTGTCCAGCAGTGTAGTTTCATGGAGAAGCACCTGCTGCTGGGGCCTAAAGCAGACACTGCAGACTGAACCTCAGACAGACCTCACATCAAAGGCCGAGGGGAGTAGAGGGGGCTGGCCCTGAGGTGATGACCTTGCATTCTCTGGCTCCCCATGGTGTCCCTTCTGGATTCCTGGACCTCAAGGTGAAACTAAAGTTTGTCATGCTTCTGCAGACACAAGGTACAGGAATACCTCTCAGTGCCCCGGGGTCACTATCAAAAGGAGGAAAACAAAGGGAGACCAGGAGGCTGCCTGCTTCAAAGGTCATGGGGGCAGGGCCTAGTTATCTGGGAAAGTAGAGAAGATTCTCTGCAAAAGCCCGCGTTTCTCTGCTGTTTCCATCCCCTACTTCACCCTTAAAGGTTAAGGCAGGGCCTCCCAGCCTTGGGGACTGACTCTACCCCTGCGGAGTCTGATTAAGTCTGGATAAAGCCTGGGTGTTGGTGAGTCCCTGGATGAAGACAGGCCTCTGCTAGTTCTGGAAGCTTCTCTGTGCTGGTGAAAAGCTCTGAGCTTAATTCTGCTTGAAGTGTGACTTGGGCAAAATCTATAAGCCCTCCTTGCCTTGGTTTCTCCTTCAGCAAAATTGGGTGAAAGTACTTTAGCTACACCCCAGAGTGCCTGTTACACCCAAAACAGTTCTGGAAGCTTCCTGGTACATTGTAGTCTTCTAAGAATATGAGTCAGAATCAAATCTAAGTCTAAAGCTTCTTGGTTCCTTCTGTGGTCTCTAACTCATCTCTGCGATGGCTTAGAAAATGCAGAGGACTTTCTTCTGGTCCTAGAAAAGCCTTCTCAGATTTAGTCCCCTATATTCCTAATGTGATGTAATCCCAGCTACTTGGTAGGCTGAGGTGGGAGGTTCATTTGAGCCCAGGAGTTCAAAATCAACCTGGGTAACCTGGGTAATAAAGAACTCATCTGTAAATGAATGAATGAGTGAATGAATTCAGGTTTCACTGAACCATGTTTTCCAGCACACCTGCCAGTGCTGCCCACACTAGCTACCACCTCCAAATTCTTTATCAGTTCTGGGCAAAGGGGAAGAATGTATGTGGCTTGCAGCTGGGCACCAGTGGGGCCATCCCTTCACCTTCTCCTGCTTCTCCTTCAACACTTCGATTTGTAGGCTCGGCACCTATAGCACAGTGGTTATGGTGCCGGCCACATACACTGAGGCAGGCGGGTTTGAATCTGGCCAAAGCCAGCTAAGCAACAATGACAACTGCGCTAGGGCATCAGCCACATACACCAGAGCTGGAAGGTTCAAATCTAGCCTGGGCCTGCCAAACAATGATAACTATAACCAAAAAATAGCCAGGCATTGTGGTGGGCGCCTGTAGTCCCAGCTACTTAGAAGGCCAAGGCAAGAGAATCACTTAAGCCCAGGAGTTTGAGGTTGCTGTGAGCTGTGACACCACAGCACTCTACCCAGGGTGACATAATGAGACTGTCAAAAAAAACCCAAAAAAACCCAGCCTAAATATCCATCACAGCGGAGTAGATAAACTTGGTATAGCTGCTATATGGAAATAGGGAGCACAGGAGGCTCCCTGCATACTGATATCAGAAAGTATTAAGTTTGGCAACCAGGGTACAAAGCTTGTATATATTGTTACCACATACATTAAAATATATGTATATGTATTCTCACACGTATGTTTATATACATATTGAATATCTCAGGCTGTCGGCAGGGCTTGCCCCCTTTCTCCATCTCCGTCTCACCCTTCCTTCCCTCCTCCTTACAGATCGAAACCCACAAGCTGACCTTCCGTGAAAACGCCAAAGCCAAGACAGACCACGGGGCGGAAATTGTGTACAAGTCACCCGTGGTGTCTGGGGACACATCTCCACGGCACCTCAGCAACGTCTCCTCCACTGGCAGCATCAACATGGTAGACTCACCCCAGCTCGCCACGCTAGCCGATGAAGTGTCCGCCTCCCTGGCCAAGCAGGGTTTGTGATCAGGCCCCCGGGGCGGTCAATAATCGTGGAGAGAAGAGAGTGAGAGTGTGTGGAAAAAAAAAGAATAATGATCTGGCCCCTCGCCCTCTGCCCCCCAGCTGCTCCTCACAGATCGGTTAATCGGTTAATCACCTAACCTGCTTTTGTCGCTCGGCTTTGGCTCGGGACTTCAAAATCAGTGATGGGAATAAGAGCAAATTTCATCTTTCCAAATTGATGGGTGGGCTAATAATAAAATATTTTTAAAAAACCACTCCAACATGGCCACACCCAACATTTCCTTGGGCAATTCCTTCTGATTCTTTTTTTTTCCCCCTCTGAGGAGAAGAGGGAAGGAGAGGCTCTGAAAGCTGCTTTGGGGGAATTTCAAGGGACCGGGGGTGCCCACTCTCTCTGGTCCCATCCTGGGGGTGTCACAGAAGCAGCAGCAGCAGCAAAGGATTTGAAACTTGGTGTGTTCGTGGAGCCACAGGCAGATGTCAACCTTGTGTGTGTGATGGGGGTGCGGGAGGACAGTGGGGGGCCGAGACAGGGGGTGGGCAGGGCAGAGAAGGATGAGAGGGGAGGGAGAGGAAAGACTGTGTGGGGGAGGTGGGACATGAGCCACCACCTCCTACCGGGAGAGCAATGGGAAGGGCGACTGCCTCTGCCACTAGCAGTAGCTCAGTCCCTGCAGCCTCATGCTCTTGGAGGCTGGTGTGCCCCTCTCTGGAGGGGAACCTGTGGAAGAATCGGCAGTGGGCAGGAGGAGAGGGAAGGGAGGGGAGCACCCTGTGGGTTAGTTCCTTGGAGGAAAGGAACCTTGATGTCTGAGAGCTCTGGCCTCTTCCTCCCTCCCTGCAGGGTGGGCATCCTTCCTGGGTAAAGGGGGGTCCTGGGTTAAGGGGCTTCTCTCTGCTCCATGGAAACTCGGATTTATTGAGTTCTGAAGGTTGGAACTGCAGCCACGATTTTGGCCACCTCGCGGACCTGGGACTTTAGGGCTAACCAGTTCTCTTTGTAAGGACTTGTGCCTCTTGGGAGACGTCTGCCTGTTCCCACGTCTGGCCTCGGGCATCTCTGGAGTGTGTAGGGGTCTGGGAGGTAGGTCCTGAGTCTCCCATTCCTCTGGCCACTGCAGCCACCTGTCTGCCCTGCGGTGCCGTTGTTTGCTGTGAGAACCAATCACTGCCTGTCCCCTCATCATGTCACACTGTCCCAAAGTCCCAGCCTCACCATCCCCTTCTCAGCAATGGACACTGGTTGGACATGGGAGGCACCTACTCTAACCTAAGCCGTGAAGTCAAGGGAAGGCAAAGTCCAAGCACAAAGGTTGGACCTCAAGTCTCTCCCTCTAAATTTCACTCATTAGATGAATATGCCACTCATATTGGATTTGATGACCTTATTCAGTTCCCTGACCCCACCTCCCATCACACATGCGGGTTAGGGTGTTGCTTGGTAATGACCCCTAGACATTCTTGCTTTGTTGACTTGGAGAAAGCCTTTTCCTTCCAGAAGGCCGGGTCCCTTCCTGTGTTGAGCTGACAGCGGGAGTTGGGTGTCCTGGTTGCCAATGATAGCACCAACATGGGCAGGCAAGGCCAGGGCAGAGCCACCCTCCCTCTGTTCCTTCTGTCCCCCACTTGTGCACCAGCTTGGGACCGCCAGCCTCCCAAGGAACCCAGCTGCTGTTCACCTCCACGTGCATATAATCAGCCCTCCACACCCCAGAAAGGGGAACATGCCCCCTCGGAAATGGTTCTTCTCCCCCAGTCCCAGCTGGAAGCAATGCTGTCTGTTGTTCTCCTGGAGCAGCTGAACATATACATAGATGTTGCCCTTCCCTCCCTGTCTGCACCCTGTCACATTGTAGTTGGATTTGTCTGTTTATGCTTGGATTCACCAGAGTGACTATGAAAGAAAAAAAAAAAAAAAAAAAAAAAAAAAAAAAAAAAAAAAAAGGACGCATGTATCTTGAAATACTTGTAAAGAGGTTTCTAATCCACGTTCATGAGGGGCCTAGAGATCTCTCACCCTCATGCTGGGACTTGGCTCCAGAAGGCCAGTGTGGCTGTACTCTGCGGTGTCCTCCTGTATTTTGAAAACGTTTTCATCAGCATCTGGGACCCAAGAGACACCAGATCCTGGTATCTGAGGAGGACCTTCAGCGGCAAACAAGGCCTGAAGTATAGGACTAGGACAGAAGTTATGGTGTCCCCCTCCCTATTTCCCCGAAGATTCCCTTTGGCAGGGCAGAGATGTGTTTTGTGGCTGGCCTGGTTTGCAGCATGGAGATGGTCCCCTTTGGTCACAGCCCAGAGAAGTACCCGCTCCCCCCACCCCCCCCCCCCCCCCCCCCCCCCCCCCCCCCCCCCCCCCCGCCCCATAGCAGTCCTGAAAGAGGGTTTTATAAAGGCATCACCAAAAAAAGGAAGAATGTGCCAGCTGGGGGATATGTAGCCTCCAGATGTCCCTAATTCTCTAGGCAGCCCATCCCCCAAGTTGGGGTCCCTCTCCAGGCTCATGCTTAGGAGGGACAGCCTGGCTTCCTCACTAAGGGCCCTGAGGCCACAGAAGGAAAGTATTAGAACGGATTGTCCATCCTGGATGGGCTCCAGGGGTCAAGCTGCTTGACTGAGGAAGAGTGACAAGTCAGGAAACAGTTCCCAAAACCTTGCCCACAGCACTGCCAGCCCACTGTCTGCACAAGCTCCATCTGCTGCCATGAGAAAAGGGAAGCCGTCTTTGCAGAAAATGGCTGTTTAAAGAAACTCGGCAGCCTCAGGCCCAGTTCTGTCACTTCTGGTTTGGGTACAGTTAAAAGCAACCTTGGGGCTGGGTGGTAGGAGCCCAGAACCTCCCCTAGGGGTGGAAGCTTCAGTTGCAGCCAGGTCTTTCTGTGCAGGAATTACCTGGGCCCAGGACTTTCCACCATCAGACTCCCCACTGTCCTCTGAGTCCCAGCTTCAGAAGAGAAGGGTTGAGAGGAAGGAAAAAGGAATGTGTAGGGATTTGTTAGCTGTTAAGAGACATGGCCTGCTCATTGTTGTCACTGATTTGGCTGCATTTCTTACTGTACCTCATTTGCTCTTCCTGCAGTCCCTAGGTCTCACTCGTCAGCACATGGGCCTTATAAGAGCTTTGGACGCTCCTTTGTAGGGTGGGCTACTGGGGTCAGCCTAAAGGTCATGGTTTAAGGTGATGAGGTCAGTGCTGGCAGGTGGATTGCAAAAGGGATGGTGGGTTGTGACCTTAAATGAGGACGGTCCCCCCACCCCCGGCTGAACATTCTTGCTCTCCCCTCATTTCTCCCATGTCTAAAGGCCCAGCGTCCCTGGGTGGGCTAGATGGGGATACACTATATGCCCATCAAGCTCTCAGTTCACTTTATCAATAGCTCCATTTAAACTGACTTCAGTGGTGCAACTGTTTCCTGTTTGGGATTGCTTGTGCTGTGGGGAAAGGGGGAGAAACGTGTTTATACTTAACATGGGCAGAGGGAGGTCTTTGGAGTGCAGCAGTTAAACTGCCTTATAATCCTTTCCTTCGTGATTTCAACTACATTTGCAAGGAGGGCGATACCATGGGGTAAGAGGTCTTTTGAGGCTTCACCGTCCACTGACAGGCTTTCCTAGCTGCAGCAGCCAGCTAGTTCCCTATGGCTTTCCCAGCCCGTGCAGGTAGCACAGGAATGTGGAGATCTGGTTGCTTTGGCCTGCTGCCCTCTTGTGGGGTCTCAAGCCCACAAACATGCCTCCTAAAACCCTGGCAGCTTTCCCTCTAAGCTGTTGGCACTTCCATGTCACCTCTCCCGCTGGCTCCAGACATGCTGCCTGTACTTCTAGCGGCAGCTGATTGTTTCCTTCACCCTCTTTATCTTTGTCCCAAGTTAAGCCAAGAGGCGGGGGATGAGGGCACAGGCTATCAAGTTGTTCCGTCCACACATTGATGGCTTCATCAGACTTCTGATTTCCCTTCAGCTTTGGAAAGGGTTACCCTAGCACTGACCTAGAATCTTAACCTCCTAATGGACTTAGCCCCTTGAATTTGCAAAGTTGTGCAGGACAGTTTCTGGCACTTGGAAGTCCCATGATTTCTTTGGTAACTTTAAGGGTGGGGGGAGGGATGTGAAATCATCTTAGCTTAGCTTCCTGTTTGTGAATGTCCATATAGTGTACTGTGTGTTTTAACAAATGATTTACACTGACTGTTGCTGTAAAAGTGAATTTGAAAATAAAGTTATTACTCTGATTAAATGAGGTCTCTGCTCATGGATTCCCAGCACAAGATGATGATATAGGATGTATGATCTTCAAGTTCTTTCCCACCCTTAGAAAACAGAACTCAAAAACAGGAAATCACAACATTGTTAAAAGCTGGACATCAGGATTAGCAGCTCTCTCTGGGGCCCTAAAGGTGAATGGAGTGTTCTCGGGCAAGTTCATTTTCAGCTGATTCTCTCATTCGGATGCTGACAAACCATCCTGGTCCAACTCAAAGGGAGATAGTTGTGGCTGAACACACAGTACTGCAGTCAGTTTGTGAGACTAGTGCTAGTGTACTCAAACCTAAGAAGACTGGGCATTGGGTTCTGTGAGATTTTCTGTCTCTAGAAATTAGTTCAGAGGCCTGGGCCTGGGGCAGCAGTCAATCATCTGAATGAATAGCTTAGATGTTTCCTTTGGAACCTCATTATGGATTGAGGAATATTTCGGTTAAACCAAGACAGAGATACCAGATAGTTTCTCCCTAACAATACCATAAAGGAAAACAAAAACAAAATAGTAACCCCTTATTGTTTTTTAATTATGTCAAGGTCACAGTACTGAATCTTCAGATTAATAGTTTCAAAACATTACTTTTCTTGGCTGCTTTTTGTTGTTGTTGCCGTTTTTGGCTGGGGCTAGATTTGAACTCACCACCTCCAGCATATGAGGCCGGTGCCCTACTCCTTTGAGCCACAGGCCCTGCCCTCTTGGCTTTTCTTGATGTGCTTAACCACTTACAAGCAGATGCTTGATCTTAACTGCAACTCTAGAAGGAGTAAGCCAGCAAAAGAGAATGCTACCTCAGCGGGCATGGCTTTTGCAGCCATGATAGGTAGCCCCACTTACCTGACCATGTGGCAAAGCAAGAAAGGAGAGAACCACGCCCACCTACTTACTCACCTAGTACAATGAAAATGAGGCACTTAGCTGCCTCAAAATAAAGATACTATCATAATCTCAACTAGCAAGCAAAAACTAATCCAGGCTCTATGCAAATTATGCATATCATTGCTAACCCCCAACCCCAGAAAAATTCATAGGCAAAAAGTAAAATTTCCTTTATTTTTTTTGAGACAGAGCCTCTAGCTGTTGCCCTGGGTAGAGTGCCATGGCATTACAGCAATCTCCAACTCCTGGGCTCAAGCGAGTCTCCTGCCTCCACCTCCCAAGTAGCTGGGACCACAGGTGCCCGCCACAACACCTGGCTATTTTGGTTGCAGCTGTCATTGTTGTTTGGTGGGTCTGGGCTGGATTCAAACCCGCCAGCTCAAGTGTATGTAGCTGGCGCCTTAGCCGCTTGAGCCAGTAAAATTTCCTTTAAAGATCAATTTAGAATAAATACATGTGTGACATATCATATAGCTGGTACCATTAGAGGAAGGACCAGCAACAGACAGTGATTCAATTACTTCCACTTAACAAAAAGCAAAAGAAGATCCTTGCAGACTCTCTCTCCTCCTGGCACCCCTTACCCTCAGTAAAAACCACCACATCCTCTCTCTAGTGACCATCAGATGACCCTGCCATGTTCCCAAAAGACTGGAGATTTTCTAAGGTTCAGAGCAATTCAGAGAACCCAAAAAGCAGGCTCCAGCAGAACCAGCTCTGAAGCTGTCACTGGTGCCATATACGCCTAGCACAATGAGTCAAGAAAGGCCTGGCACACCACATTCTGTAACTCTTTTTTTTTTATTATTTTTTTCAATTTTTCTTTCCTTTTTTTTAAGCACTAGTCTGTGCTTTGCGAACAGAATCAAGACATTAACAAAGATCAGCTTCTCTGAAGAAAAGCATTTCTATAGAACAAAGACAGCTACGTGTTTCGCTGCCATTACACAGCTCAAAGCAGGAAAAGAAAATATTTACAAAATACAAGTTTTTTTTTTCAATTTTTGTTTTTTTCTTTTTTTTACAATGCTAAAAGGGTTATTCAGAATTTTCAACCTTATAAATAGAAGAAGCACTTTATGCATAGGGATATGGTGCATTATTGTTTTTTAAAGAAACAATGACAAACCCTTTAACTTGCAAACAGAACCCAAAAAAGAAAAAAATCACTAATGTTGAAAATTGTGAAAAAACCCCAACCATTAAGCAGTTTGTCTACTATTTTTATACGATTACAAAATGGCAAAAAAAAAGTCCTTTCCCCCCTCCCCCTTTTTGGTGATGTGATTATACATGAGACAGGCACAAGGTTAACAAAGAAGGGTGATGGGGGAATGATGGAAACCACAGCTAGGACCAGACATGTTCCACAGGCAAGGGGAACGTGAAAGAGGAAGAGTCTAACTGACACTGACAGGAACCTGGATGTGAGGGAAACATGACAGAGTGAATTAGTCAGTGAAAACAACATTACACAGGGGAGCTGGCTGCTCACTTCCCAGATCCCCTGGTTTGCAGCAGGGTGAGAGCAGAGGTTAAGTAGTCCTAATCCCACCTTCATAGGTCAAGATAGGCAGTAATACCATTCCGAGAGGAAGGGCTGGCATGTGTGGCTGTGTGCTAGGCCTGGGTTAGGGGAACCTGAGCAGCCTCAGCCAGGTTACTGCAGTTAAGGAGTCAAGACAGACATGACCAAATGCAGATGAAAATGAAATAGGTTTCCAAGATCTAGGTGACAGGGGAAGCCACTCTACCTGCTGAGAGCTCAATGAGAGCACCAGGCAGTTATGGCAAAGAGGCTCTAATGAGGGGGCTCCAGCACAGAAAACCAAGGGGGACCTAGCCAGGAGGGCCAGGGCTGAGCCAAGCCACAGATGGCAGGGGAGAGGGTAAGAGCCCAGAGCTTGCTCTGTCCTACCCTCACTAAAGAAGGCAATGCTGAACTGGAGCTCCCTATTCTCTCTGCCCAGGCAGCTGTCCCACCCTGTCCACAGGTGTAAGGGAGGGATGCTCATCTATAACATCAGTTAAGTCCAGTGATTCAACAGTGCAGAGGAAGCGCCAGGACTAGGCCAGAAGGGTCTTATCCTGAACTTCTGTTTGCCAACTGGAGGAAGTGCTCAGGTGTGTGTGACAAGAAAACATGGAAACAAAAACAAAACGAAAATTAAAACAAGGAAAAAAATAACCAAAGTAGGATCTAAATTCCTTAAATTCACTAAAAACTGTGAAAATTTCCAGCATATGATGTTTGAATATCAAACGCAGAGATTTCTGAAGCTTTAATGCCAATAGTTAGTCTGTTTAGATTCTTGTCTCCCGCTCATCTGTGAGTTGGGCGCTGAGCTGTGACTGTTGCCGCCAAATGCCGACTCTTAAGGGGGACAACAGGAGGTGAGGTGGGTGCCACCTCTGTCTCCCGGCCAGTCTTGCTGCCTGAGGTACGCCGAGTACAGCGGGCTGCGCGTTCCTGTGCATCCAGCTGGTCCTCACACTCTGCCTGGGGACTGTATGCCAGGGGAAAGGTGCGCCGCTCCCATGGCTGGACAGACTGTGGGCAGACAAGGTGCTCTGGTCAGGACTCAGCCCCAGCCTTCCTGCCACAAGTCCTACCTATGGACTAGAATCCATGACCAATCTATCTAGAGCTCCTGGGAAGACCCCTCATACAATGAGTACTCTTTTTAACAATGACCGATTATAGTTCCTTTAGGTGGTAAATTTCAAGTGCAGCTCCTTGCACCCTCAAAAGGGAGAGAGAGAGCACTATAAAATGAAACCATCTTCAGCAGGTATTGTTCCTTCCCAGTTCCATGCCCCACCTTTCTAGCCCCAACAAAGGAAGTATCCCTCACCTGTTCATCCAGCCCCAGCTCTGGCGTGGAACAACGGGTATCTTCACTGGCTAAATGTCGTGGAGTGTCCCGAGCCACAGGTGTGAGGGGAGCTGAGTGCAGTTCCGGGCTAATGGGGCTCCTAGGAGACTGACCATGGGAAAACTCCGACAAAGAATGGCTACTACTGACATCAGGGGAGGCAGGCTGGGGGGTGGAGGGGTTGGCACTGCCCAGCTGGGGGGTTGTCCGGCCGTCTGATGACCTGTAAGACCTGTATACCAATGAATGCAAATCTGAGTGCCTGGGTAACAGGTGTTTTCTTACCCACTTCTAAGGACCCGAGGATGGGGGAGGCATGAAAAAAAAAACACTCTTATCAGAGGTACTGAGGCAGACTGACACCAACAGGCTTGTCCTGGGACCCAGCAAATCCCATTTCCTCCCACTATTGCCTGGAAGGCTAACTATAACAAGGTTACTGACATAGCAGTTAGTGAATTCATGGTGGTACAGAAATTAGTTTTTAAAAATTGTAGTTAGAAAAAGGTAAAAATGGCTCAGCGCCTGGAGCTCAGCAGCTAGGGCGCCAGCCACATACACCGGAGCTGGCAGGTTTGAACCCAGCCCAGGCCTGCCAAAAAAAACAATGACAACTACAACCAAAACATAGCCAGGTATTGCGCCAGGCGCCTGTACTCCTCCCAGCTACTTGGGAGGCTGAGGCAAGGGAATCACTTGGGCCCAGGAATTTGAAGTTGCTGTGAGCTGTGATGTCACAGTACACTTTACCCAGGGTGATAGCTTGAGACTCTCTCTCAAAAAAAAAAAAAAAGAAAAAGAAAAAGGTAAAAACAAGAGTCCCCCAAATTTCCTACTTTAGAATCCCAAGAGCTTCTGCCACTATTAACAATAAATGGAGGGGCGGCGCCTGTGGCTCAAAGGCGTAGGGCGCTGGCCCCGTATGCTGGAGGTGGTGGGTTCAAACCCAGCCCCGGCCAAAAACTGCAAAAAAACAAACAACAACAAAAAACAATAAATGGAAACAGAAGCCAGGCACAGTGGCTCAGACCTGTAATCCCAGCACTCTGGGAGGCTGAGGCAGGTAGATTGCTTGAGCTCAGGCATTTAAGACCAGCCTGAGCAAGAGGTGAGACCCCATCTCTAAAACCAGCCAAGCATTGTTGCAGGTGCCTGTAGTTCTACCTACTTGGGAAGCTGAGGCAAGAGAATTGCTTGAGCCCCAGAGTTTGGGGTTGGTATGAGCTACAACACCATGACACTCTACCCAGAGCAACAGTGTGAGTCTGTCTCAAATAAATAAATTAATTAATTAATACAGGTCAGTGGTGTAGGTATTGGGTGGGTGGGACAGTTCATTCAAGCAAGACCACAGAACCACAGTCTATTGTCTAAAAAGAGGGTTAACTTATAGTGAAGCCATCAAAGCTCCCCTGGCTACCTTACAACCCCTACTTATGCCTCCACTAGTTCTTTTTTTTTTTTTTTGAGACAGACCCTCAAGGTATCCCCCTGGGCAGAGTGCCATGGCATCACAGCTCACAGCAACCTCCAACTCCTGGGCTCAAGCGAGTCTCCTGCCTCAGCCTCCCAAGCAGCTGGGACCACAGATGCCCACCACAATGCCCAGCCATTTTTTGGTTGCAGCCATCATTATTGTTTGGCGGGCCCAGGCTGGGGATTCGAACCCGCCACCTTAGGTGTATGTGGCTGGTGCCTTAGCCGCTTGAGCCACAGGCGCCGAGCTGCCTCCACTAGTTCTAACATACACCAAGGAACTGCAACAGTCCTGGCCCTGGCCCGTAGATGAGTATAAGCAGCAACCAAGAGGCAGTGGCAATTCCATGAAGAGAGGCAAGGCCTGAACTCCCTGCCCACCCACCATCCACACTTATGCCTGCCCACCCACCATCCACACTTATGCCTGCCCCATCACCTGCTGCCCCGCCGCTGGGGTGGCACACTTGTGGTCCACAGCCACCGTGCTCTCTCCATCTCCTCACATTTGGCATGCAGGGCGGCAAATGCTGCATCTGATAGGTCCTCAATCTGCAATAATAAAGCTTCGTTGATCCCTTCTTTCCTCCAGGAAGCTGAGAGTTTAAGCAGAACCACCCCACCCCATTCTAGGCTCTTCCCAGTTAGGACAGAAACAAAAAGGCTACACTTGACACCCACAGGTCTCGAGGCAGCTGGAGTATGCACCCATGTGTATGTGTGAGTGCATGTGTCCTCCTCTGAGACATTACCTCCTCGTTCTCCTCATCAGGACTTCCCTTCAGAGACTGAAGATCAACCTCTCGCCAACTGCAAAACCAAGAATGAACAATTATGAGATTGCAAGCAGTTGAATCCTGGGGAAGGATGAATGTATCTGTCCAAGTAGGAGAGGCTGCCTACTTGCAGATACAGAGAGCAGGTGCTCTCTGCTAGCAGGCTCTGCCCTTCACATCTCAGACTCCTTACCCCTGAGGCCTCTAAAATAGGCCTCCTACTCAAATGCCTATAAAGGCCAGGAATGGAAGCAGCAGACTAGGATTGGATTGGGGCTGGGTGACTTGGATAAATTCAAACAAAAGAACATGTTTAAAAGGAGACCACCATTATTCAGTACCAGCTGATTGCCACCACCTCAGAATGCACCTTAACAGGATGCTAAAATCTGATTTGTCAACAAAAGCTAGAATTAAAGCCGGGTGCGGTGGCTCACGCCTGTAATCCCAGCACTGTGGGAGGCTGAGGAGGGAGAATCGCTGGAGCTTAGGAGTTCGAGACTCGCCTGAGCGAATGTGAGACCCTGACTCATGAAAAAAATGGAAAAACCCAGCTGGGCACTGCGGTGAGCGCCTGTAATCCCAGCGGCTTCTGGAGGCTGAGGCAGCAGGATGCCCACAAGCCAGGAGTCGGAGGTTGCAGTGAACTACCAAGCCGCTGCACTCTGCTCAGGGGCACAGGGTGGGACTCTGACTCGACCAAAAAAAAAAAAAAAAAAAAAAAAAAGCTAGAAATAAAGATATGCATATATATGAATTCCTGCTTTGATGTTGACAACAAATTCCAAACATGTCTACAGACCAGTGATGGCCAGTGGCCTTGCCAGGTTGTAACTTCTGGTTTGGTTGGTGTAATCATAATAATGGAATGAGAGAGAACTATGTAGAGAAATAATTTAAACTTCTCTTACTAAGAAGACACAACCCAAGGCTAGGGCCCAAAGCTTGGTCAGAGGGAAGAAGGGAATAGGGCAGTAATAGAAAAATGGGGAGAGGAGCCAATTATTCAGGGCTTCTACCTGGGTGTCAGGATTTCCTTGTATTGTAGTTTCTCTACACGGGTTGTTGCAGCAACAGACATTGGGATGACTATGTTGTTAATATCAAATGAGCTCTCTCCCCTTCTCCTCCTCACTGGCTGCTGTAAGACAAAGGTAAGTTTGAAAGAGAGACACAACTCTACAAATACCAAATCACTCATCCAAGACCAGGCCTCTGGGTCTTCAGGTTGAAGATGGGCAGTGACCACAGCAGCTATGCACACCAGGACAGATGATCTCCAAAAGCAAAGTCCTTGGTAGAAATACTAAGTGGTCCTGAGGAGTAACTCCCATTCGTAAGTCCTACTGGCCACCCTCTTCCTTCATTGGCTCATATGAGAGACTTTTGTTGAATTTTATAAGGGTGGATAATCCCAAGTCAATTGTTGGAATCCCTTCTCCATATATACCTTTATTAACCCCCTCATTTAACCCCCCCCCCATCCCTGTCTTAGACCCACAGTGGCCCCTCAAAGCAATAAATCTTATCCCAAAAGATGCACAAAACAAAGGGCTATCTCAATAGATTGTCTAACCTTGGTTGTCATGAATGCACCTCTTTCTTGAAGATAAGAACTCTTCAGCTAAATCTGTACCCACCATCTGTTCAGTCTTTATGTGACTTTTTGCTCTTATTATTCTTAGAAAACTAAGAACTTTCTAGCTATATCAACAGAGATGACTAGAGGGAAACTAAAGAGAAGGACCTGGCTATACCTCACATTCCTGGAGAAAGGAATTTTGCTTCTATAGGAAGCTGAGACGATCAAACTCTTGGGAAAATAAAGACTTCTAAGGATCCAGTATCAGGTGGACATCTATAATCTTTAAGTAGCTTGGAGACCAAGGAAGGACAAAATAGGGAACCAAAAAGCTTGGTCTCTTGAATGGAAGAAAAAGTCTAAGAGCTACTTCTGCTCAAATGGCAAATACCCTATCCTGAATCAGAGACTGGCAACTGAGCTGTGAGAGGCTAGAGGGAAACAGTGGGATGACAAACATGCTGCCATGGCAACAAAACAGATGGAAACACCTAAGAGGCTGCATACACACCCAAATCACCAAGTGTGGTCAGCCTATAGGAAAGAGGTCAGTGAAGGGAAGCAAGGCAGAGATTATTCCCTATAACCACTCTATGCTCCATTACCAGAAGGTGATAAAGGATTTATTCATCCTATCATCTTAGGGCATTCTCAGAGAATGTTAAAAGTCAGGACTTCCTGGGCCAGAATTTCAGCTGCTGTCATTTACAATTTTAGGTGACTAAAATGTCCTTTTCATTTTAACCTTCATCTCTATCAAATGAAACGACTGTTGAACTTAGGGTAACTGGTTAACAAAAATGCTTGAAGAGACTTTAGAGATTCTTGCCTGGCTGAGCTCTGAAGCAAGAAGACTAGGAATCTCAAACCCAAAGGGCTCTGTCATTGCCACTGCCACATCTCTGCTGAAATGTTACTTCCCACTACAAGAGATGCATCTTAAAATAAGCCTCAAGAGAGAAAGCCTCCCCTGTATCTTGGTCAAGAATGCATGTGAAACTGCTGGCAGAAACAGGTAAGTAATTTTCCTGAATCTTCTTGGGTTGCTGCTAGTACCCTTCAAGGGAAGGAGACTGGAGTAGGTTGTGGGATTCCATCCTCTACTTAGACCCTCATTCCGTCAGCCACTGCGTTTGGTCCAACTGTCCTCTTAGAGCCAGAGCCAAAGAGCAGGTAATGAGAATGAAAAGTGGTTCCAAAACTTGGTTGTACATTGAAGGCAAGATAAGGAGTGTTTTTTAAAAAGGCTCTAGGATTCCCCTTCTTCTATCACATCAGAATCTTTTTCTATAGGTGTGCACCACCATATTCAGCTTCAAACCAGAAACTTAGAGGGTTTTTCTTAAAACTACCAAGGTAGGGGGCGGCACCTATGGCTCCAGGAGTAGGGTGCCAGCCCCATATGCTGGAGGTGGTGGGTTCAAACCCAGCCGCGGCCAAAAACTGCCAAAAAGAACAACAAAAAAAACTACCAAGGTAATTCTGATGCAGCCACTGGCTTTTGTGAAGCAATGCCACAAACACCCCTCCCCCTATTCTCTCTCCAGTGTCTTCTAGCTTCTCTGTTTGAGTTCAAGTACAGCTGGCCCTCTGTATCCAAAGGCTCAACCAGTTATTTGACAACAAATTGTGTCTATATTGAACATGTATATAGACTTCTTTCTTGTCATTATTCATTAAACAATACAGTATAACAATCATTTACACTGCATTTACATTGTACTATTATAGAGTACACATGAGAATGTACATAGGTTATATACAAATGCTACACCATTTTATATCAGAGACTTGAACATCAGTGGATCTTGGTATCCATGGGAGGTTCTGGAACCAATCTCCCATGGATACTGAGGGGCAATTATATTTGGCTTATCTTCTTACTATTAAATAGTCTTTTTTTTTTTTCTTTCTTTCTGTCACCAAGGCTAGAGTGCAGTGGTGCATGCTCACTCCAACCTCAAACTCTTGGGCTCCAGCAATCCTCCTGCCTTGGCCTCTCAAGTACCTGGGACTACATGTGAGCATCACCACACCTGGATAATTTTCTAACTTTTGTAGATACAAGTCTCCCTCTTGATGGGGCTGGTCTTTTAACTCCTGGCCTTAAGCAATCCTCCAGCCTCAGCCTCACAAAATGCTGTGATTATAGATGAGCCATCACACCCAGCCTAAATTCAGAGACTTTAAAAAAAATTGGTAACAAGTACCTTAAGGGTCAGCATAGTGCTATGTAGTACAGAGTTTGCATTTCATAAATAATATGTAAAAATTTCAAATGATTCTCCAGACACAGGAGGGCTGGCAGCTGAGAAAAATACTAGAGTACTAAGACCTGAATCTGAGCTCAGACTTCTTATCAGAATTAGGCTCTTTTATAGACTTTGGTTATCTAAAATTCACACTTTGAATTTAAGGATACTACACGTCTATTTAGACTAAAGTTGTGAGTATGAGAGGTCAAGAAGGGGGAGGAACAAGGAGGCCATTTGGAAAAGATAGACTTCTAAGAGCAAAAAGAATAATACGAGCCTAGTGAGCAATCTTGAGTGATCTAAGCTCTGAAGGAGCTTTAAAAGTGGCCTCTGAGTGGCTCGGCGCCTGTGGCTCAATCGGCTAAGGCGCCAGCCACATACACGTAAGGTGGCGGGTTCGAATCCCCAGCCTGGGCCCGCCAAACAACAATGATGGCTGCAACCAAAAAATGGCCGGCGCTGTGGCGGGCGCCTATAGTCCCAGCTACTTGGGAGGCTGAGGCAGTAGACTCGCTTGAGCCCAGGAGTTGGAGGTTGCTGTGAGCTATGAGGCCATGGCACTCTACCCAGGGGAATAGCTTGAGGCTCCGTCTCAAAAAAAAAAAAAAAAAAAAAAAGTGGCCTCTGAGTGCACCCATACCCAGGCTTAGACTGTGTAGTGTAATGGTAGGAAAGCTGGCTCTATAGTCAAGCTAATTTGGTTTGAATCACAATTATAACCCTCACGAGCTTCTTTGCCTTTCATAATTTACTTAACCTTGGAAAGCCTCAGTTTTCATGTGTACAGAATGGGATAATACATGTACATCATTTAGTGCTGGCACGTGGTAAGTGTTCTACAAACATTATAGTTGTACAGTTTTATCATTACTCTTACCACGATTTTAACTATTACACAAATGACCTTCAGTAGAATCAAAGGAGTTACAGGTGTATGAGCTCAAGAGGGCATATCTGAGGAATTAAAATATTAGAACGAAATTCGTGAATTTGCCTAGAATGGTTGTGCAAACAGCTTCCTAGATGGACTGTGCTCCTATAAAAGCCAATTAGGGTATGTGCCTGCACACCCATATGAACCAAATGGCCTGCCAACAAAGAATGGGCTCTACCTTCTCCCTTACCTCCCACTAGTACTCTAATGCCCAGTATTTATTCTCAGTATGCCATCTCGACTACTGGGAAAATAAAACAAGGAAATCAAATGTTGTCTCCCATGCCATAAAAGCTCCACTTTTCCTCATGTTCACTTCTTAGGCCAACAGGAGTAAGGCCATGGTATTACTGAGTTCCGTATGAAACGCAGCCCCATAGAACTTGAATAGTTAAAGACCACCTTAAAAGTATCTCTTCCTGAAGCTTTTTATGGATGGCTCAACACAGATCTATCTCTATGAAAAATTCAAGAAAATGTCAAATATTACCACTCTGACTTAAAAATGATACATCCATACAGCAGGGTAAGCTAAGTTGCCATAAATGCCTTAGGTTCCATTACCCACCCTCTCTACTGTCCTCCTCCAGAGCCACTTGAACGAGCAGTAACCTGCAGAGGGAATGTCCAGCTAACCCCACACAGGTACTTACAGATGTGTTGGATGTAACCTGTGAGCCAGAGCTGGTGGGTGCGGAGGAGTCTGATGAGGTGGAGAGCTGTCGCACCAAGGGACTGTGCGGTGGATGCTGAGAGGCTGCCAAGTAGTTTGAACTGCTTGTGTCTGTGTGATGCTTTAACACTGCAGTTGACAGAAAAGAGGGGAATGCATGGCTATCTTAACCAGTGCTACTTCTAACACAAGCTAGAATAGCAGCAAAACACACTAAAGGCAAAAGTACTTTCTAAGCCTAGAGGACAAAAAGGTGAGGCAAACTGACTGATGGGAGGTAGCGGCTGGGCAGAGAGAGGTTGCTGTGGCTGTTAAGAAGTGACCTGCATTTAGAAGCAGTAGCAACTCCTGCTCTGCCTTCCTAGAAGGTGAAGGACAAAGCTGGGGGCAATTAAGAGAAGCCTAGGCTGCCCCAGAAAGCCCTGAGCAGGTGCAATTGCAGGTAGAGGTGCCATGGGCCTGGCCCTACCTTCACTTCTCTCAGATGAATGGTCTCGCAATCTCATTTTGCTGTGGTTTGGGTCATGCACGGGTGGCGGTGGGTTGAGCAAGCGCTCTGCTTTTGGCGCTGTCACTCGTTCCACCATGGGCACGGCCCCCACATCGTCTAAGTGCTGCCTGTGGGTCCTGTCAGGCCGGGTTTGGTGATGGGACAGCTCTGAAGAGGGGAACAGAAAAAGAGCTGTGAAGTACCTTTTCTCAAATTTTTTCTTATTTGAGTTCCAAACTCTTGAGTTCTCCCAAGGCCAATTCTGTACACCCAGGGCAGCAGCACAATCCTTCAGGACTGAAGCTTCTAGTAAATAGCACAATGGCTAGGATAGACACAGGGAACCCAGAACCAAAGAAATGTGACACCACGCTACAGAAGAACAGCCTGCCCACAGATGAACCTAATACCATGCCGCTGCTGGCTGTTCACTGAGCCCCAAGACCCGTTGTGTCCAGAAAAGCTCCCTGACTCCGTCTGAGAGCATCTAAGACAAGCAGAAGTAACTGGCTAAATGTCTCTTGGTCAAATGCCTCTCCTAACCCCAACATACTAGAGCAGCAAATCAATATTTTGAGAATATAAAAGGAATGAAAAGTAACTGAAATTACAAAGGATTCCCCGGTTCCCAGAAACTTACTGGCTGTGGTTAGGAAGGAGTTGACCAACTTGTGCCTGTCTCTACGAGATGGATCTGACAGATTGCCTGGTATGGGTGCTCTGTGTTTTAGTGAAAACTTTTTGGGAGGTTTGATTTTGTCAAAAGGTTTGTTCTGCCACTGAGATTTCAGCATGCTCTGGAAGTGCAGGCTTGTGGGAACATCTGAAAGAAACACAAAACACTGCAGGTTAGTGCAAACACCTGGCTACGGGCTCCTCCTGAAGTGAGGTGCACTCTTCGTCATTTGGACTTTCTATTACTCAACAACTACATGCCACCCTTCTTTTATCTGCCCTGACATTTAGCAGGACAAGTGGTGTTACAAGTGGATGATCTGTTCATGTGAACTTTACTAAAGGTCATTCTTCTATTCACAAGCAAGTCACTTTTGCTTAGAGTTAACCACGATATATTCATTGTCAATGCCTATAGCACAGTAGTTACAGTGTCAGCCACATACACCCAAGGTGGCCAGCCCAGTTAAACAACAATGACAACTGCAACAAAAAATAGCCAGGCGTTGTGTCAGACACCTGAAGTCCCAGCTATTTGTGAGGCTGAGGCAAGAGAATTGCTTAAGCTCAAGAGTTTGAGGTTGCTGTGAGCTGTGACGCCACAGTACCCTACAGAGGGTGACAAAGTGAGACTCTGTGTCAAAAAAAAAAAAAAAAGTTTTGAGATGGACTGTGTTACATACCATTATTTCATTTCTAAGAAAAACAGTCAATGGTGTCCTTCCTGGTTCACCTGTGCAAGTTTCAACTTGCTTGGCTTATCAGTGTTGCTGGGGGGAGAGGGGGACCAGGGGCAGTTCATTTATTTCTGTCCTCTTGGATTTTACACCACTTTTTTGTGTTATCTCAAACTCACATCTGTAATCCTAGTACTCTGGAAGGCCAAGGTGGGTGGCTTGCCTGAGCTTACAGGTTCAAGACTTGCCTAAGCAAGAGTAAGACCCCATCTCTACTAAAAATAATAAGAAACTAGCCTGGCATTGTGGCTGGTGCCTATAGTCCCAGCTACTTGGGAGGCTAAGACAAGAGAATCATTTGAGCCCAAAAGTTTGAGGTTACTGTGAGCTATGATGCCATAGCACTCTGCTGAGGGTGACAAACTAAGACTCTATCTCAAAAAACAAAAAAAACAAACAGGCTTGGGGCCTGTGGCTCAAGTGGCTAAGGCGCCAGTCACATACACCTAAGGTGGCAGGTTCGAATCCCCAGCCCAGGCCCGCCAAACAACAATGATGGCTGCAACTAAAAAATAGCTGGGCGTTGTGGCGGGCGCCTGTGGTCCCAGCTACTTGGGAGGTGGAGGCAGGAGACTCGCTTGAGCCCAGGAGTTGGAGGTTGCTGTGAGCGTGATGCCAGGGCACTCTACCCAGGGGGATAGCTTGAGGCTCCGTCTCAAAACAAACAAACAAACAAACAATCCCCCCCCCAAACTTTCATAATGACCCACGTACTATTATTCTCCCTCTTTCCTTGGCAGCCCCACCACTTCCCCGACCTTGAGATTATAGAAGATTTTTAGCTGACTGAATAGTGTTCAATATCACAAAACAATAATCTTTTAGACTTAATTATGAATATATCCTTAAGCAATTTCTTCTAAGAAGGAATTTCTAGATTTTAAACCACTTTCCTCTCAGACCTTTAAAGCTAATCTTCCATGTACTGTAATATGCATTGCAGTGTATCAGAGATATCTATTTACTTTAAGTGGTCTAACTTGTGTCTTTTCAGCTTTTGTGGGAAAAAAAAGTTTGTGTAATTACACTGACTCTTAAATTTAGGGGAAAATTTTATCCTTTAGCCATCAATACTGAGTCTTCTAACACAAGAATTCACACAGTATCTCTCCATTTATTTAGGTTTTCCTTGATTTTCTCTCAGCACTGTCTAGTAGTTTTCAACATACAGATCTTACGTATTTTAAGTTTACTCCAAAGTTTTAATGTTTTTTGATGCTTTTATAAAAGACAATACATTTTAAAAGTTTAATTGCCAGTTGTCCATTGCTTGTATTTAGAAAAACAATTTTTTTTTTTTTGGCAGTTTTTGGCTGGGGCTGGGTTTGAACCCGCTACCTCCAGTATATGGGGCCAGCGCCCTACCCTTTTGAGCCACAGGCACCGCCCCAACAAATTTTTATATAATGACCTTGTGTTCTGTGATCTTGTTAAATTCCTTAGTTACCGCTTTTTCTTGTCTTTCTTTTTTTAGAGAGAGAGTCTTACTTCAACACCCTCAGCAGAGTGTTGTGGCATCACAGCTCACAGCAACCTGCAACATCTGGGTTTAGGCGATTCTCTTGCCTCAGCCTCCCAAGTAGCTGGGACTACAGGTGCCCACCACAACGCCCGGCTATTTTTTGTTGCAGTTTGGCCGGGCTGGGTTTGAACCCACCACCCTCAGTCTATGGGGCTAGCATCCTACTCAATGAGCCACAGGCACCGCCCAATTATAGCTTTTTCATAGATTTAACAGGACTTTTTATATACATAAATATGTCATCTACAAATAAGATTATTTTCCTTTCTAATCTGTATGCCTTTTATTTTTATTTCTTGCCTTACTTTGGCCAAAACCCTTGATGAGGAATTAGAACTTTTAGATTTCCCTTTTTATGTTTTCAATATTCTAAAATTTTATCATTATGGATACAGGTCTGAGTCTTTTTTCAGTGTTCTGCAAAGCTTATCCAGGTTGTGTTAATCTAAAGGCCAACATACTTTGTCTTCAGATCCCTGTACCTTGTGGGAATCAATAACCACCTGGGACATACACAAAGTTCTAGGCCAGAGTTCACATGTACTGCATTAGTACAGAATGCAACACCACTAGACGGAAGGCAGCACTGGTGGGGTCAGAGCGCAGGAAAAGAAAATCCAATCTACCTTTCCCAAGGTGAGTTCAGACAAATGCCCTTTGTGTATTTGTGCCCTTTAATCCTGGGCAAAGAACCACCTCTGAACAGCTCCCATCCATGTAAGCTTATACCTGCATGTCTTGGCCTACCTTTTTTTTGAAATAAAGTCTCACTTTGTCACCCTGGGTAGAGTGCCATGGAGTCACAGCTCACAACAATCTCAAACTCTTGCCTCAGGCTCCTGAGTAGGTGGGACTACAATGCCCAGCTATTTTTTGTAGAGATGAGAGGTCTTGCTCTGGCTCAGGTTGGTCTCGAACCTGTGAGCTCAGGCAATACACCCACTTCAGCCTCCCAGAGTGCTAGGATTACAGGTGTGAGCAACCAAGCCCAGCCTAGGCTACTTTTTTCTTTTTATTTCCCTACAGGCACTGTGTATCACTCATCATGAGTGTATCACTTAATTTTCACAGCAATTCCATGAGGCAAACATCATTATGCCTAATTAAAGATAGGAAACAGGTTTAGAGAGATAAATTAACTTTGTCACCCTTGGCAGAGTGCCATGGTGTCATAACTCACAGTAACCTCAAACTCCTGGGCTTAAGTGATTCTCTTGCCTCAGCTTCCCAAGTAGCTAGGACTATAGGTATGCACCACAATGCCTGGCTAGTTTTTCTAATTTTAGTAGAGACAGGGTCTTGTTCTTGCTCAGGCAATCTACCCACCTCAGCCTCCCAGAGTGCTACAATTATAGGTGTGAGCCACCGAGTCTGGACCAAATTAACTGTTACTATGTCCAAGGTTACATGGTTTAATAAGTAATAAATAACATTTACACTCAGTATTATACAACCCTGGAGCACAATACTCTTACTCACTATACCGTGAAACTATTCATTGATCCAAAAGACGAGAGGTTTCAGTTTACGATGAATATCTCTGAAATTATTACCAAGAAAATAGAAAGTATAAGATTATTTTTCAAGGCAGTCATGCAATGTAAAAAAAAAAACAACAAACAACAACAACAACAACAAAAACCACTCTTGAGTGAATAGTTAACATTCTCAAGAATGATTTTTCCCAATGGGAAAGCAGCCTCAGCTCCATAGAGCTCTCTGATAACAGTGTTAAAGGCAGTGAAACAAATTAGGAAAGCTATTAAAGTTTTAAAGATAAACATTTGCTACAATTTCAAGAATTGAGACAAAGTCTCTGAGGACAGTGCTGTCTTCTGAAATTTTGTCATAATAATTCCTTCTTTTTTACACTGAAAAACAAATCCACCTATCTCAACTCCTAAAAAAGAAAAAGAAAAACAAACAAACAAAAAAATAAAAAGAATGCATTATTTTTCTTTTTGAGACAGTCTCAGTATGCTGCCCCCATGGTGTCACAGCTTATAGCAATCTCAAATTCTTGGGCTTAAAGCATTTCTCTCGCCTCAGCCTCTCAAGTAGCTGGGACTACAGGTGCCCACTATAACACCCAGGTATTTTTTGTTGTTGTTGTAGTTATTATTGTTGTTCAGCAGGCCGGGCCGGGTTTGAAGCCACCAGTCCCGGTGCATGTGGCTGGTATCCTAACCATTGAGCTTCAGTTGCCAAGCCTGTTATTTCTTTAAAAAAAAAAAAAGATTTACAAGAACTGAGTTTAGAGACATGAATGGTAACAATTCCTTGCTTTCATTAAGCGGGGTTGGGAGAAGGGTACAAAGGAAATAAAGTACTGTCTAGAAGCACTCAGCCCTACAGAGTATTACCTGAAACAGGAACTGAACAAGAATGTATAACGAATGCTCAAGAAAGGGGAGGAGAACAGTTCCTGTATATGCCAGGATACCTCTTTGTCAACACAATAGTTCTCCCACTTAGCAAAGGAGATATGTGTCATGTGTAAAATGGGACTCCCCCAAGAGAGTAGTGATTTTATTTTTTCCTTTAATTTGGGAGTCATTGATCTCCCAAACCTGAAAATGCAGCTAGAAAAAAAAAAAGGGATGACTCGGAGCCTGTGGCTCAAGTGGCTAAGGCGCCAGCCATGTACACCCAAGGTGGTGGGTTCTAATCCAGTCCGGGCCTGCCAAACAACAATGATGGCCAAAATATAGCCAGGCGTTGTGGTGGGCGCCTGTGGTCCCAGCTACTCAGAGGCTGAGGCAGAAGACTCGCTTGAGCCCAGGAGTTGGAGGCTGCTGTGAGCTGTGATGCCACAGCACTTTACCCAGGAGGGAACAGCTTGAGGCTCCTGTCTCAAAAAAAAAAAAAAA